TTTTACAATAAGAATTCTATCATTTTAGTATTATTTAAGTTAATATTTAATATATATATATATATATATATATATATATATATTGGGGAGGTAATTGATTATTCCATTAAATTTTATGAATGAGGATTTATACTTTCATCCTTGAAAAATTATTCATTCCTTATAAGACGTATTTAATAATTCTATGACGTTTGTTTAAGCTACGAAATATGAATTGATAGAAGGAAAGAAAATCAAACTAATTTTATATGGCTGTTCCCCACTGCGAAAAGATGTTATTTCATATTTCAATATGAGTTCAAAATAGGACGTTACATACGTTGTTTTTGTCATTCTTTTCAGAAATAAAAAATATATGTACATAAAAATTTAAGTATTTTGAAAATTGCTTCAGCAAAAGTTGTAATTTGAAAGCTAAAACAAATAGGGAAATTTAGAATTTCTCAATCAAAATACCTTAATTACTCTCGTTAAAATATTTTTCTGACTTTATTATATCGATTTATTAACAAATTTTGAATAAATTTATGTTATATTAAAGAACATGATTCTTTGAATGACATCACCGATGTTAATGTAGGAGGTATTCAGCGAATCTTCTAGTAGAATAAACATAACATGTTCTACTTTGAATATAACAGGCCGCATCTGTTTAGGGTTTCCATGATTCACCTCTCCACGCCTATATTTAAACCTCCGCCAAAATAGATTGAAATACAAACTAAAATAATGATGGGGAATAACAGGATACCAAATTATACTTTTATATGGTCACGTTCTTTCTTACCAATAAATGCTTAATGAAAATGACCTGTTGAAAATAAATTACTACGTTTTTTGTGATCCCAACTAAATAAATACTTTGTATTCTAACTGTGGGTTAGTAATATTTATTGCGTTACAAGTATTAAAATTAATCATATTAATCTCTAACGTTGAAGAAGACATTAAATTTCAATCAAAATTCTGATTAAGTAGAATTTTTCGTGTGGTGAAAAGGGCTTATTGAATAAACTAAATCCTAAAAAATGTGCATTGCTCAACTGAAACGCCTATTTGAGGAATTCAACTTAGATATTAAGAAGAAATGAATAAACTGGCCTTGATGACAATTCGTTTAAATCCTGGTAGAATTGAGATAAAATTTAGTTAAAGTAGATAAACCATGAAACAAGTTATAATCTAATGTTAAATAAATCTTCAAAATTTTAAAATCAATAGTTCAACGTCCTTTATTAACCCCTCCAAAGGGTGCTGAAACCTTAAAATAAGACAAGACATTTTGTTTACAATTATAGTGTGAAACAAAATAACTAGTTGGAAATATTTGCTTTTAAACAAATTAGAGTTCTTGAAAGTTTAAAACTGGTTGAAAACCATTGCGAAGCGACTAAATAGATAAGTGTTAACAAAATATAATCCCTTCACGTGACTTGTAAAACATACCCGCAAATTTTAAAAGAGCGAAAGACCAAAAATAAGGTACCTCAATGGTTTACAACTACTATAAATTCCAGCGCTATCTAAAATGTACAAAGCTTTTAACAAAAATGTAGATTATGAACAATGAATGAGAAGGAAAAAGAGGCGATTTGGGTTTAATTGAAATCGTACTCTTAAATTTCAAGGCAAATGCTATCCTCAATCCTGCATAATAATAAGTCATATTTTGTGCATTTAACAGTGAGTGCATAGAATATGCATGATTTGTTCATTATAATATCGTTGTTTCTATAACAGATAATATCTCCGTAAAATTAGATTGTACTTAATGGTACTATCTATTAACAAAAAGTATTGATTAAAATTACTCATTTCGTACAGCGGAATCATTTAGATTGACAATTTTCACGTTAAAAGGACACTGGTAGCGATAACGCGACCCAGTTAGGTTTGATCTAATTTCGCCTATTAATTACTGTATTACTGAATTTTCGGTCCTCTCACAATGTCATTTTTGTTGGATGGAAATAAATCAATACCAATGTTTACAAGTCAAATCGATTTTTAATCAGCTCACCATAAATGATTTGCACTATTTACCAAATACATAAATTAAAAGTAAAACCAGTCAAGACTGTAAATCCTGTTGTTTGTTCAGAAATCTAAGAAAAAGAGTCATTTGATATTCAACGAAGTGTCCCCTTGTTCTTCATCTGAGTCTTCAAGTTCGCGTTTTCTCTTCTTAGAAACTCTAACTCTCGTCTGAATAATAAAAATAAAAAAGCATTAATTTCATAAATTTGAAAGTCAAACTTCTTTCGTTTTTTGGAATATTTATGGATTACAGATATAGTGCTTCTAAAGACAATATAATTAATATGTATAAAAATAAAATTCAAATTTTTATATTTTTGCTTACCTCATTTGGTGCATATGAATGTGAGCCAAAACATCGACGAAACAAAAGTGGTCCCCTTTTAATTTGAATTCTGCATGAAATTCAAATATTGCATCCACCTTAGTTGCAAGTACACTCCCCTAAAGTAAATTGTTTTTAAATTAGAATAATTATTTTTGGAGTAAGATAAAAAGGTTTACAACATATAAGGGCTCCTAAAGGGGTGAGAAGTTGAAAAATAAGACGAACATTACTCCACCTTATCTGGTGATTCTAAATCATATATTCCTTTTATTCTGTTCCAGCTTTAGAGAATTTCTTGGATAATAACTAAATTAAGTATTTCAATGCTTTCAAATATACTTTAGTAATACTTTGATGAGAACAAAGAATGTCGTTTTTTATGTCAATTATTCTCAACTCATTAAAAGATTGTATTAAAATGTCTGATATCCAACTTCAAATGGCATTATTTGATTAAAAAATTCATTTCATCTGGGCTAATAACTCTCCATTTCGATGGACGGATTTGAATCTGGAAGATGTGCTTGAAAACGCACGATACGCTCTCTGCAACCCAGAAATTTATATGTTATCGGAGCTCACAACAATTTAAAAGGTTGCATGTTAACGTTTTCCCATTTCAAGTGCGAGTGGTAATTTTAAAGGCCCTTTAGCTTGTAGCTGATTTCACGCAGAAGGAGAATTTATGCTATTCTACGAAGCTTACTTGCCAAGTTGGATCAATTTAACGTAAAAGTGAATGCTTAGGGTCAGCTTCATGAGGGGGAAGGATGGTGAAACGCTTTTTCAGTAAAAGGATGAAGGACTTGTTTTGAACGTATGTCATGACTAGTATTGAAGGTTCACATGCGACTTAGCTCATTCAATTGATCTTAAAGAGTAAGTAGGCTGAAATCTGTTCTCTTTTAAACTTTTCAAATAAAGCCTATTTAATATTTTCAACATCAGTCAAATAGTGTGCTAATGAATTGTCTAAAAACATTATCTTAGAAACCGTAACTCAACTTCCATTATTGTGGTAAGGTTAATGTACAAATGAAATTTCTAGTCGTTAGGATCAGATGTCGAAGAGTTCAATGCTAAAAGGACACAGACATTAAACGTATAGACAGATCAGGACACCGTTGTCTGTGGTCTGTAAAGAATAGTAATATTCAAATACATAGAAAACCATGCCCATTTTGAAAATCATTAAATTAATGGAAGCTGAATCGTCTAAGATAACAATTATCTAGGTTTTACGAAGGGCAGTTCGTTTGCTGTATGAATTCGTTGGTTTTGTTCAAGTATTTGCGAAATTAAGGACGTGCGTGTAAGGACGTCTTCATGAACCCTCGATGCTTCGTATTTAGGGATTGACATCAGGCATTCTAAATTTTGATTTAAATGGCATTGACAGGAAGCCAGAGTATGTTCTCAGCAGAATCCAACAGACTTACGGATATTAGCATAATTTTCCAACAAAAACGCTAATGTGAATATAGAACAAGTAAGAGGTTAAAGACAAAGTTGGCAATAATCAGCTGGCGATCGGTTGTCCCGATATATGAAAGATCCAAATGAATTGCACTGATTCATGCGGTGCTAAGATTTGGTTCTAATTTTTCTTACTACGTGACTTAAGTTCATCTTAATAAATGATATGTATTTTGAAGCGAAGAACCAATGACTTTGTCGATATTTCCAAGCACAGTTTTGCTATTTACCACTTATTCCGTTAACTTCGTTTTATAGTTCAAGTATTGGCAAAATAAATTACTAACTTAATGAATGTACGTGACTGAAAAACGTACTTGAAACGCTAAAATGGACAAAGACACGTTCATTAATTATCTTATTAATATCCACTAAAATTCCTCCATAGGGTCAAAATATGCATTGGAGCGAATCAAAAAATTATCCACATATTAAAATTTCATTTCAGTGAGCACCGATCGAAAGAGTTCACATTTTCTTTACACAGATATTTAAATGATTTATTGTTGTCTACATATCAGTAATCTTTTCTATCTCTGCTGCTGTGTGGCTAGAAAATGGTTATCTGTTCAAACATTGTATTTAATATTCAAGATAACGGAAAAAAAACAAAATTGTCTTAAAATTTAGCAAAAATTAAAGATACGATTGAAATTTTAATTACTTTCTCTTGACATCTTAAGTGTGTTAGTATAATCGACAGAGTTTCGAAATGAACCAAGACAATAATTTTGGATTAGAATTATCGACATGTAATACAACCCAGACTAAACAAGTTTTACAAAACTGCGTTGGTCGCTATTGAAAAATCCTTGGGGTAGAAGGTCAAATCTTACCTGGAAATTTCTTATGAAGAAAGACTAAATGAAACATTCTCATTAAATTGTGTAACGTGGATTTGCCAACCAATAAGTTGTTCCATTCTTAGTTTCTCAAAGATATTTCACAATATTTATTCCAGATGCCACCACCTGAAACTTCATAGGCATTGTATCCCAATTTAAAATTAAAGGGGAATAGTTATATTGATTATTGAAATCATTTTACTCAATAGAATATTATGGAACAGTTTGGAAGTTTTTATTATTAGCTAATTGCCCACTTTTAGAATGGCTATAAGAGTAAAACTCTCGTGTCAGTATTGAACGATGAATGCTCTTTAGTTATTCTTATCGGTAGCTGTGAGTTTACTTACTGAAGTTTTCACGTCTTCCGGGTAGTGAATAAGGCATTGGGATGGAGACAGGATTTCTGGGAGAATATTTTCATCAACTAGGGAATTTAATGAATCCATGCTCACTTCCTTCCTGTGAAGTTGTTGAAAACGCGTTGCTATACTTAGCGCAACCTTGGCTTCATTTTGCAGTATATCGTCCTTTTTAATGCTTCCGTTTCTCAAATGCACACTCCACCAGAGAATATCCACTGTGTTATCGTTTAGAAATTTCTTCTTTTCATCTTCTTCAAGCCGTAACCCACAGCTCAGAGAGCGTCCCTCTTGGAATGCGAATAGATTCCACCGGGTACTTAGAGGATCAAAACGTATTGTAGAAAAGTATAAATGCGATTCGGGACTGAGAAGCACTAATTTCCTTTGAATGAACTTCCTAATGCGTAGAGAATTCAATTTAATTTCTAAAATGGGGTTAAAATATTTGAAAGGCATTTTTTTGGCTATGTAATCAGCGATTCCTTCTCGAACAGAACAGGCAACAGTATCAGCTTCCAGCTCACCAAGGTTCTCCATGGTGGACATTCCAGTTCGCGGATCGATGAAAAATTGCATTCTGCGATGAGATGTACGTGAGTCAATTTCACAAGAGAATTCTAGAGACGAAATATTCCGTTCGAATCGATTATTCTTGCTTCTTCGACGAAATACATAAATACTGACTTTGGCATTCCCCTCGTATTCAGGTCCGAAAATGCTTGCCTGAGACATAGCAATGCCTAGTCTCCATGTTTCCCCTCCTGCGTTAAATGCATTTGACTCGAACAAAATGGGACCATGATTTGAATTCTCATCGTTATAGTGATCAACATAAGTATTGGACAGAAAATGAACTAGTTCCGATGTGCTAGTTAACTGAACATAGATATTGACTTTGGGATGCGAAATTTCCAACTCAAGTAGAAAGGTATGATCATCTGCCAGAAATTTACCTCCAGTGAGATCGGACAATTCGATGAGAGTTTTTGATCCATGTTGATGTGTATCCCGACAAAATATCACCTGTCGTTCTTCGTATTGCTGGTTTTTACTGAAGTGTTCCCTATTTAAAATTGTAAGGGACATATCTAGATATATTTCCATTCTTGTAAAAGGGTTTGAGAGAAAAAGAAACAAAAATGCTCCAATGTGCATTTTGGTGCGCATTAATCTTAACTTCCATCTCTTGCCAAGGTAGGGAAACTGAACAGAGTCAACAACTTTTACAAATCCACGTACTATATTTGAAGGAATTAGAAAACTAATGATAAAGGAATCTGTTTCCGGTGAAAATGAGCTTCTTATTAATGGGGCTTTTGTGTAATTTCGCGACGAAAAATTAAGCATGTTTTGAATAATGCTTCCACTGCAACCAAAGTCTCTCTCCTGAGCTTCTCCGCCATTGGCCAATGTGTCTGCCAATCATAAATAACTATCTATTTATTGGTTTTTTAAGGACCTAGAATCAGTAATTTGACATGGTTTAAACAGTGTACAAGGAAAAAGACAGAGGAAAGAAATGGGTTTTATTATAAAATTGACATTTTTTATTTCAGATATATATTTATTTATATCAAATGCCAGGCTTTATGATATTTATCATTAGCCCTTAGTTGACTTCAGGCTTCACAGAGGGGAAGGAACATCAAAGTGAAAAAAGTCGAGAGGAGGGGGGAACAGAATAGTGTTTCAAAGATGTAAGAGACAGACACAAAGGTAGAACAAAGGTAAGGTGAGTACTGTGAAATGAAATGACATACAGTGGGGTGATGGTAGTTTGAAGTGAGAAGTCAACTGCCAGTTAATAGACTTTTTTGCCGTATGAATATTCGTTGCCCAGGGTGCACCACGTGGAGGTAAGTCTATCGCACACCCCATTTCAGATATATAAGAAAATAGAGTTTAGTATTGAGAAGACGATTTTTATCGCTAGGATAAAAAAAATTTCAATTAAAGGGACAGTGTAAAGATTGTCTCAAAGTCTTTGTTTAATTGTTGAAAAAATTTACATATTTGCTGAATTTCATAATCCTTTTGAAGGAAAACGTAGGGCGACGTGGATTCCTTGATGAGAATTCCAATCAGTTTACTTGAAATAAGAAATTCCGATATTCCAGCTAACCGAGATACTACATCGTATTTATGTTCTAGCCTCAGTCGTCAATTTTCGTTCTCTGAATAGAGAGTTTATTTGGAAACTAAA